GGCCCCTCTGTTGGACACTCTTTTCCTCTCCATTCTATAGGCTTCTTGAAAGGGAGCCCTAAGCTGGGCACGGTGGCTCATGCCTGTAATCCTAAAACTCTGGGAGGCTGAGGCAGGCAGATTGCTTGAGCTCACAAGTACAAGACCAGCCTGAGCAAAATTGAGACCCCTGTGTCTAAAATAGAAAAACTGAGGCAAGAGGTTGCTTGAGCCCAAGAGTTGGAGGTTGCTGTGAGGTATGACGCCACGGCTCTCTACCCAGGGCAACACCTTGAGGCGCTATCTCAAAAATAAAAAAAGAAAGGGAGCTCTGGTTATACGTATGTATTCCCCCACATCATCATTCCAGTGCAGCCCACACGATGCCTCCACCTGGGACAGGGTTGCCTGGGACCTCCTAACTTATTTCAGTGGGTTAAGGAACAAAGAACTCTCATCTCTCATTCTTTTTTTTTTTTTTTTTTAATATCTCAAGACAGCATTTCACTCTGTCTAAAAAACTTCATTTACAAAAAATGAAAGTAAACTCCAGGTGCAGGGATTTTTTTTTTTTTTTATATTTATAGAGAGAGTCTCACTTTGTCACTCTCATTAGGGTGCTGGGGTGTGATAGCTCATAGCAATCTCAAATTCTTGGGCTCAAGTGGTTTTCTTGCCTTACCTTCAGAGTAGCTGGGACTACAGGCACCTGCCACAATGACCAGCTATTGTGTAGAGACCAAGTCTCGCTCTGGCTCAGGCTGGTCTCAAACTCCTGAGCTCCCACAATCCTATCTCGGTGTCCCAAAGAGCTGGCATTACAGGTGTGGGCCACTGCGCCCGGCCTAGATTGCTGTGATGTTAAACTTGTAGAATGCTAACTACTACTTAGCTGTTACTACCAGCAGCCTGCTCATTCTCCCTTTCCTTATTTGCTCCTTGTGTTACCTTCCCCCTCGGAGGAACACAGCAGCATGTTGATGGGTGTGGCGTGAGTCGGCCTTGGCATGTTTCTTGTCCTTTTCTTCTCTGAGGCCTGAGACTCACGTTGTATTCTGGGGAGGGGAGTTCCGACCAGTGGTGTCAATATGTAGCACCCCCTTTTGTGTCTCCCAGGACAACATCTGACATGAGCCGAGTGTTCTGTTCACACTGTGGGAACAAGACTCTGAAGAAAGTAGCTGTGACGGTCAGCGACGACGGCAGCCTGCATATGCACTTTTCCCAAAACCCCAAAGTGCTGAATCCTCGAGGCCTTCGGGTGAGCAGCATGTCTCCTGTTCCCCAAGCACCACTAGAATTGATAGGAACAGAGAGGACAAAAAAGGTCGTCCCAGCTGTAAGATGCAGTATTGAAAGCTGGTGACCAGGTACAAGGCAGATGGGGGACAGTATGGTAAAGCCTCCTTGGGAGTTTCTTGAGGAGAAAGAAACTATTGATGATCCAAGGACAAATAAGTGATAAGTGGTGGCAGTAAAATGCTTAAGAGCCACATGTGGGTGGCACGAGGGGGATAATATTTGAAATATGGTGGAGCTTACATCTGTGCAAGAGTTGGAGGGTGGGCAGGATCCCTGGAAGGGAAAGAGTGTGAGTGCTCAGCCTGGGAAAGGCTGGTCTGGGTACACAGTTGTGGATTTGTTTCAAGGGATAGAGAGAGGAGAATTAAGGGGACGTGTGAGTGGCACTGGTTTTGCCAGGCAGCATATGAGCCATGAATGCATGAGAAGAGTTTTTTTTGTTTTTTGCAGTTTTGGGCCGGGGCTGGGTTTGAACCCACCACCTCTGGCATATAGAGCCAGCCCCCTACTCCTTTGAGCCACAGGCACCCCCAAGGTTAATCTTAGATCACATTCCTTTCTCTCTCTCTATATATATATACACATTTTCTTTCCCTGAACCTTTTGGGAGGAAATTGTACACATAATTTACCTTTGCTCTGTGGGGGACTTTTATGTAACCACGTTATAATTATCAAAAATCACCAAAGCTAGAGGCTGGGTGCAGTGGCTCATGCCTAGCACTCAGGGAGGCCAAGGTGGTGGATCGCCCAAGCTCCAAAGTTCAAGACCAGCTGGATCTAGTGCAAGACACTGCCTCTAAAGATAACCAGGCATTGTGGTGGACTGGCACCTATAGTCCCAGCTACTCAGGAGGCTGATGCAAGAAGATTGCTTGAATACAAGAGTGAGGTTGCTGTGAGCTGTGATGCTACAGCACTCTACTTAGGGTAACAGAGACTCTGTCTCAAAGAAAAAAACATTAAAAATTAAAACTATTTAATCTGTACACCCATGTTCAGACTTTGCATGTGTTCTGAGGTCTCCTTTCTTGGAAAAGAAGGGAATTTGGGGGGCCTGGGATCCAGTCTAGGATCCCTCACACTTTGCAGTTGTCATGTCTCTTTAGTCTTTATAAAGCCAAGTACAAGCCTATTCTGTAGATAGTCCCTCAGTTTGGGTGTGTCTGGTATTTGTTCATTATTAGATTATTTTCTCAGGCTTACCTATTTTTTTTTCCCTGAGACAGAGTCTCACTCTATACCCTGGGTAGAGTCCTGTGGCATCATAGCTCACAGCAATGTCAAACTCTGCAGCTCAAGCAACCCTCTTGCCTCACCCTCCCAAGTAGCTAGGACAACAGGTGACCACAACAACACCAGGCTAGTTTTTCTATTCTTAGTAGAGATGGGGTCTCACTATTACGCAGGCTGGTCTCGAACTCCTGAGCTCAAACAATCCACCGACCTTGGCCTCCCAGAGTGCTAGGATTTTTTTTTTTTTTTTTTT